TCATCAGGGATATCGGTCTGAAATTCTCCTTTTTGATGGGGTTTTGCCTGGTTTGGGGATTAAGGTAATGCTGGCCTCATAGAATGAGTTTGGAAGTTTTCCTTCTGTTTCTATTTTTTGAAACAGCTTCAGTAGATATTATTTCTTCTTTGAATGGTAGAATTCCCCAGGGAATCCATCAGGCCCTGGACTCTTGTTTTTTGGGAGGTTTTTGATCACTGCTTCAATCTCGTTACTGGTTATTGGCCTATTCAGGTTGTCAATTTCTTCCTGCTTCAGTCTTGGCAGCTTATAGGTTTCTAGGAAGGCCTCCATTTCATCCAGATTGCTCAATTTATTGGCATAGAGTTGTTGATAATAATTTCTAATAATTGTTTATATTTCCTTGGTGTTAGTTGTGATCTCTTCCCTTTCATTCATAATTTTATTAATTTGGGTCCTTTCTCTTTTCTTTTGGATAAGTCTGGCCAGTGGTTTATCAATCTTACTAATTCTTTCAAAGAACCAACTTCTAGTTTCATTGATCTGATCTAATTGTTTCTGGTTTCTAATTCATTGTTTCTGGTTTCTAATTCATTGATTTCTGCTCTAATTTTAATTATTTCTCTTCTAGTGAGTGGCTCAGCCATCATTTGTTGCTTTTTCTCTAGTTCTTTAAGGTGTAGAGTTAGTTGGTGAATTCGGGATTTTTCTGTTTTTTTTGAGTGAGGCTTGGATGGCTATGTATTTCCCCCTTAGGACCGCCTTTGCAGTATCCCATAGGTTTTGGACTGATGTGTTTTCATTCTCATTGATTTCCATGAATTGTTTAAGTTCTTCTTTGATTTCCTGGTTGACCCAAACATTCTTGAGCAGAGTGGTCTTTAGCTTCCAAGTGTCTGAATTTCTGCCAGATTTTTTCTTGTGATTGAGTTCCAGTTTTAGAGCATTGTGGTCTGAGAATATGCAGGGAATAATCTCAGTCTTTTGGTATCAGTTGAGACCTGATTTGTGGCCCAGTACATGGTCTATTCTGGAGAAAGTTCCATGCGCGTTCGAGAAGAATGAGTATTCTGTTGTTTTAGGGTGGAAAGTTCTATAAATATGAGGTCCATCTGGTCCAATGTATCAGTCAAAGCTCTTGTTTCCTTGTTGATTTTCTGCTTAGATGATCTGTCCATTGCTGAGAGTGGAGTATTGAGGTCTCCTACAATTAACGTATTGTTATCAATATGACTCTTTATTTTGGTTAACAGTTGGCTTGTGTAGATGGCTGCTCCCATGTTGGGGGCATAGATATTTACAATTGTTAGATCTTCTTGTTGGATAGACTCTTTAAGAATGATATAGTGTCCTTCTGTGTCTCTTATTACAGACTTTAGTTTAAAATCTAATTTATCTGATACAAGAATTGCTACCCCAGCTTTCTTTTGAGGTCCGGTGGCATGGAAGATGGATCTCCATCCCTTCACTTTTAGTCTGGATGTATCTTTAGGTTCAAAATGAGTCTCTTGTAGACAGCATATGGGTGAGTCCTGTCTTTTTATCCAATCTGCAACCCTGTGCTGTTTTATGGGAGCGTTTAGGCCATTCACATTGAGAGTGATCATTGAAAGATATGAATTAATTGTCATCATGTTGCCTGTGAAGATGTTGTTTTTTTAGATTGTCCCTGTAAATTTCTGTTGTATATCGCTCTTGGGGTCTTTCTCCTTTTATAGAACCCCCCTTAATATTTCTTGCAGGGCCGGCTTAGTGGTCACATATTCTTTGAGCTTCTGCCGGTCGTGGAAGCTCTGCATCTCTCCATCCATTCTAAATGAAAGCCTTGCCGGATAAAGTATTCTTGGCTGCATGTTCTTCTCATTTAGTACCCTGAATATGTCTTGCCAGCCCTTTCTGGCATGCCAGTTCTTTGTGGATAGGTCTGACGTTATTCTGATGTTCCTTTCTCTGTACGTAAGGAATTTCTTCCCCCTAACTGCCCTTGAGATGGTTTCCTTGGTTCTAAGATTTGCGAGTTTTACTATTACATGCCGGGGTGTTGGCCTGTTTTCCTTGATCTTGGGAGGGGTCCTCTCTGCCTCTAGGATGCGAATGTTTGTTTCATTCCCCAGATTAGGGAAGTTCTCAGCTACGATTTGCTCAAATACATCTTCTAGTCCTCTCTCTCTCTCCACTCCCGCCAGATTCCAATTATTCTGACATTGGAACGCTTCATGGTGTCACTTTTTTCTCTGATTCTATTTTCATGGATTCTGAGTTGTTTTTCCCTGGCCTCCTCTTTTCCCTTTTTATCTATTATATTGTCCTCCAGGTTGCTTATTCGTTCTTCTGCCTCAGTTACCCTAGCTGTTAGATTATGTAGATTGGATTGGATCTCATTGATAGCATTTTTAAGGTCTGCCAATTCAGCTTTCATTTCTGCCCTTAGAGACTCTATGTTGCCATTAATTGATTTCTCCATTCTAGCCATTGTCTTCACAATTGCTAGCCTGAATTCCATCTCCGACATCTTGGTTATATCTGCATCCATTTGTAAATCTGCAGCACAAGTCATAATCTCTGAGTCTTTTCTATTTTGGGGGCTCCTCCTCCTAGTCATTCTGTTGATGGGTGTTTGAGGGAATATGTAGAGTCCAAATGATTGACCAGAACCCAAGCAAGATGCACCTGTTTTCTTGGGACCTTAGGGTTGCTGGCCTCTTGTTTTCCCAGCCTGTCTTCTGTGGGAGGGGCCTGCCGCGCTGTTACTCAGGCAACCCTGTTTGGGCGGAGTTGCCCTGCCCCCCTGTGGCGGGGGATCGGCTCAGCGGGAATCAGTTTTGGGGGCTTTTGTTCTCTGGCAGCTTTCCCTGGCGGCTTTCGGCGTCTCTTCTGCGAGTCAGAGCAGAAGAGACCATTTCCAACCCTCTGCCTCAGAGCAGAGAGACCTCAGTCTGTTCTTCAGTGAGCTCTCCAGGCCACACTGTGTCGTTTCTGTCCGTGCTGCTATAAACTGCAGCGTCCTGGGTTGTGCGCCCCTCCGCAGAGCTCCCAGTCCTGCCTCCAGGTCAGGGCACATCTCTGCCCTTTGTGCTTCTAAAACCGCCAGCCGCTCCCAGTTTGTGCCCGCTCATCACCCCGCTGCTCCGGGTTTCTGCCCCAGGGGCTGCCCTAGAGTCCTTTCCCTGCTGCTACCGGTCTGCGAGTGTGTGCCCCGTCCACATCACGTGACGCTGTCGCTCACCAGCGGTGTAGGATCCCCACGGCCAGGCACCCTCCCGCTGCCGTTTATCCTCCAATAATCTGCCGCGGAATCATTGCTCCCCGCTTAGTACCTCAAAACCAACCGTCTGCGATATTGTTTGTAGAGATCCAGATCTTCTTACATCTCAGGCTGGTTTCGTGGGTGCTCAGAGTGGTCTGGTGGATATCCAGCTCAATTCCAGGGACCAGTTGAGATAAGGTCCCCTACTCCTCCGCCATCTTTCCCCCCTCCCGGGTTACAACAGTTTTTAATCATGATTGGTAATTCTATATCTGTTGAGATGATTTTCTGTATCTGTTGAGATAATTTCATTTTTCTATATCTGTTGAGATGATTTCATTTTTCTTTTTTCATATGTTAATATATTACATTAATCTGTTTTCCAGAGCTAAACCAACCGTATATGTCTAGTATAAACCCAGCTTGGTCATTATATATTGTATTTTATATTTTTAGCTGGGTTTGATTTGCTAGTTTTTGTTTAGAAGTTTTGCATTGTTTCATTGACTTTGGTTTGTAATTTTTCCTTCCTGTATTGTCCTAATCTAATTTTGATATCAAGGTTATGCCAACCTTATAAAATATATGGGGGAGTCTTCCACTTTTTCTCTTCTCTAGAATAACTTCTGTAAGATTGGAATTAAATGTTCATTGAATATTTAGTAGGGATCACATATAAAGCCATCTGGACCCATAGTTTAAGAGGATTTTCAACAACTGATTAGATTAGTGAATTTCATATATTACTCTAATGTTTTATTTTTTATTCTGTTGGTAAGTTATACTTTTTTAGGAATTTGTCCATTTCTTCTGAGTTTTCAAAATAGGTTTCATGAAGTTGCTTGTACTATTATCTTGCTTTTTTCTTAATCTCTGGATCATTAGCAGTGATGATACCTTTGATGTTTCTAATAGTTTTGGAGACTTTTCTCGTTTTTCCTCAAACAGTGTTTCTAGAAATTTGTCAGTAAACTGTATTTCAAATAACTAACTTTGACTTTGTATGCTTTCTGTTGTATTTATTTCCTATTTCCTTAATTCCATAATTTCTGCTGGCTACGTTCTTATTTCAACTTTCTTTAGGTTTAAAAATGTTTAGGTTGCTTATTAATTTTCAGCTTTTCCTTTCTAATATTTTTTTTTTTTTTTGAGAGACAGAGACAGAGAGAGAGCATGAGAGAGGGGAGGGTCGGGAGGGTCAGAGGGAGAAGCAGACTCCCTGCCGAGCAGGGAGCCCGATGCGGGACTCGATCCAGGGACTCCAGGATCATGACCTGAGCCGAAGGCAGTCGCTCAACCAACTGAGCCACTCAGGCGCCCCCCTTTCTAATATTTCAAAGTCATTAATTTCCTTATAAGTTACCACTCACGCTGCATCTTACAAATTTAGTTAAGGAGTTTCATGGTTATTATTAGGTTTTAAATATCTTCTAAGATGTGTTTTTCTTAGTATCCAAACAGTTGATAGTTTTCTAGTTGTCTTTTTTGTTGTCAGTTTCTCACTTAATTGCAATGTAGTGAGAGGGTAAATCATAGCATGTGATGACCATCTTTTGAAATTTGTTAAGCCTTATATATAATCATTTTTCAAGTGGGCCAGAGAAGTATGAGTATTCTCCAACCACTGGGTGCAATATTCAATATATGCCTATTAATGCAACATACTTATTCAACAGAGTATTAATTTTATCTGTCCTTAGTGCTGAAAAAAATCTATCTTAAGATGAAAGATATTAAAATAATGGCAAACTATTTGTCTTCCCTTGTATAGAGTGGTGAGGCTGAACGGCAATATAAAGGAACTTTAGACTGCTTTGTGAAGATATACCAACATGAGGGAATCAATGCATTTTTTCGTGGTGCCTTCTCCAATATCCTTCGTGGTACAGGGGGTGCTTTGGTGTTGGTACTATATGATAAAATTAAAGAATTCCTTAATATTGATATTGGAGGTAGTTCATCAGGAGATTAAGAAATACATGTATTTAACTTGTTAAACATACAAATTATATAGCTGCCATTTATATACAATTTGATAGAGTGTTATTACTGTCAATATTTTTGAGAATCTTAATTCTGCAATAAAGCATATGCTTTTTCAAGGATTTTAAATACTAAAAATCAGATAAATGTGGGTTTCCTTCCTACTTAGACTCAAACTTTAATGAGACATTTGACTTATAAGTAGTATATGTTATTTCTATTAGTTTAAAATCTTTTTCTTTTGTGATGAAAAATTAAAATGTATACTAAAATCTAAGAAATGAAAGCATATTCTTTTTAAATGCTCTTCTCTTAATATAACTGTCTTCTCATCTTTTAAAATCATATGATATGACAAATATTTCTTAAAAGCTTATCAGGAGATGGCATCATATTTATGGGCAGAAGTAAACTTTCTTCTACAACATCTCTATTAAGACAGCTCAGGTATTACTATGTATAGTTTATTTTATCATATACCTGTTATAAGCACAGATTCTAGATCTGTTCATAAAAAATTGATGACTTTATGACACTATAAACATGTAGATGGAAAAGAAAAGATATAAAATGGTGTGTCTGCTTTTATCTTTAAAATAAAATTTGGCTGATGTGAGTATATCTTGGAACAAAAAATATACCTTTGAGAATTAGTTTGTGTCTCTGTATTGATAATAAAGCTTAAAACTGTTATATATGAGTTTTTTTTCCTTGATTCTAACTTCATTAATAATCAGAGAGTAACAAATTTTTTGTCAGAATTTGGAACTGACTTAAAGGCAGAAAACAGGGTTTCCAAGGTTTTATACAAGAGTCTGTCTTGTTTTTCAGAAATGTTGTAGAAGATAGTACATTTGAAATCCCTGAGATTTTAACATTTTAGCAAGTAAAGGAATGTTAAGCTAGAGGGGATAAACTATAGAGATTGTGGAGGCTGTGAATGTGCAGAAATAGAGTAGGTGAACTTCCTGGTGCACAGCGGCAAAAGTATAAGTATACATCTGTTTTGGTGAATTTTACATTGTTTTCTCACGGCAAGGTTTGCTAGGGAAAAAAAAAAGACAAAAAAGCAACAACAAAATAATAATATATATCCAATAATTATAATGTGGTATGAAAATATCTGATTTCTATTGGTGGGAAAAAAATCACATACTATTAATACTACTGTGATTTGTGGGGTGCCTGGGTGGCTCAGTAGGTTAAGTGTCCAACTCTTGATTTTGGCTCAGGTCATGATCTCATGGTTGTGGGATGGAGCCCAGCGTCAGGCTTCACACTCAGAGTTTGCTTGAGCTTCTCTCTATGCCCCTCCCTCCACTCACACTGTGTGTGTGTTTGTGTGTGTCTCTCTCTCTCAAAATAAATAAATAAAATCATTTAAAAAATAATACTGTGATTTGTGTCTATATTCATAATTGAAAGAAATGTTAAATTTTAGTTAAAGGTTAGTTCAAGACAACACCCCTTAATTCTGTCTATGGATCCCTTAGGGACATGGGGACCCCCTGGGTAAAGAACCCTTGTCCTAGAACATTGTACTCATTTGCATAGTCAAAGTTGGGTCTCTGGCTAATCTGTGTTCCCACTGACAGGAAAAGGGAAAAATAAATCACAGCAGGTGGAAGGGATTTTAACCAGGCAAGGTGGAAGTTGCACATGTTGAATATACACATTGGTGAGACTTTAGTCACGTGGCCATACTTAGTTATAAAGAGGATGGGAAATATAGTCTGTCTTTGAGCAGCCATGTGTACAAGACAAAATAATAGATTTTGAAAGACAGCTAGTAGTCTGCCACAGTCTCCTAAGTGACACTTTTGTATCCATTCTCACCTTGCTCTAATCAATTCTTAACACTGCCACCAAAGTATTTTTTAAACTCTCAATCTGATCATGTCAGTCTCCATCTATTTCAGTGTTCTAAATATAGTAGTACTTCCTGACTTGTAGGTCATCAGGATTGGGCGAGTTTGAGGGGCAGTTTTTGCAAGTAATTTAGGAGTCCATATGCCAATTAAAAATGAAAATTGAATTTTAAAGTAGGATTTTACGTATATGTAGCAATTTTGTTCATATATGTACAAGCTTAGGGGATTAGCAAAATACAGGATTGTATTGAAATGTTCTTAAACTTATGGTAGTACATGGACATCCTATTTCAATAAAAGCTTAAAAGAAGTTACTTGGGGGCGCCTGGGTGGCTCAGTTGTTAAGCGTCTGCCTTGGCTCAGGTCATGGTCCCAGGGTCCTGGGATCGAGTCCTGCATTGGGCTCCCTGCTTGGCAGGAAGCCTGCTTCTCCCTCTCCCACTCCCCCTGCTTGTGTTCCCTCTCTCACTGTGTCTCTCTCTGTCAAATAAAATCTTTAAAAAAAAAAAAAAAGTTACTTTGGGAGGCATAGTTTTTTGTACATTAAAAATATGTCTTCATTCTTAAAAAGGTAAATGGCTAGCCTGCAGGATAAATGAAAGACTTCTTATTCTTACTTTGGCATACAACATCCTTTGTGTTCTAGCTCTAGACTTCAGCTGTACATCATATCTGTCCTTCTAGGCATTGTAGGCTTACCAGTAACTTCTGATCCCCCACATACAATATGCTTTTTGATGCCATTGGACCTTCTTTTTCAATGTCATTTATCTTTTCTGTACTTTTTTTCTTTCTACCCATTAGCTCCTTCCTTTTCATTATCTACCTTGAAAGTTATTCATTTTTTAAAGCATAATTCTCAAGTTGCCTCCTCTGAGCTCTTCCTGCCTCATAGGATCCTTCCCTTCAGACAGGTGTCCCATTTCTAGCCCTTCAAACACAGAAGCTTCTAGACTTCAATGCAAATCTCTACCATACCATTTATTATTAGGGTGAATTTTCTAGTTATTTCACAACTATTGTATACTCTTTAGTTCAACGCCTTGACTAATTTTGAAGTATACAAAAACGTACATTCCATGCCCTCATAATCTTGCAAAGGTTATAATCTAGTAAAACGGACAAAACAAATAACTGGTGGAGAACAGAATGTGAAAAATATCATAAGAAAGAAAGGTACAAAGTGGTAGCAAAGGCAAGAAACAAAGTCAACTTGAGGCAGCCTTGGGAGGCCTCATGATACCTTCAAACAATATTGAAGATTTTAATAAGCATGTAAAATTTGAGCTATATCCCAGAGAAAGACAGTGGCACAAGAACTTGGTGGAGAAACTTGTCATATTTGAACAACAGTAAGTGGTCAAGCTGGCTAGGATAAAACAGTTGATGTAGAAAAGTGGTAGGAAATAGTTGGAAAAGTAAATTGTGGGTCAAACTGTGAAAGGCTTTGAATGCCAGAGTGAAGAATTTACACAGTGAAGAACCATCACTAATTTGTTGAACAGGTGAATAACAAAGTCAAAGCAAAGCTTTAAGAAGACAGCTTGGCACTGTTAATAGGGAAAAGACAATGTAGAGAGACCAGGAAGCAAATTACAGCAATAATCCAGTGGAAATAGAGATTCTGGATCAAATATTTACTGCAAGTATATAAGCTAAATATCTGGCAATATGGCAGATTGAATTCACACAGATACCCTTCCCCACAAACATAATGAACATATTGGATAAAATATATCCAAAAGGGTTTTGTTTTTTGTTTTTTTTTTAGTAAAAAGGGAAATACCAGATGTCTGCAACAAAGATTCTCAAGGCTAGGAACACTGCTGGGAGCTAATAATGTATAGCATCTCAGAGGATTCAGAAACATATACAGACCTTAAGGGTGCTTTCAACACCCACATGGAGATAGGAATTATGAGCTTGGGCCCTGGTAAGGTAAGGGGACTGAAACTGAACACATCATGTGTACTGAAAGCTTGGAAGGAGTGTTTTTTCTTTTTTTTTTGAAGAGAGAAGCATACGGCTATTCCCATATGCTTTCTTTTTTGTTTCAATTTTTAAATTCTAGTTAAAATATAGTGTAATATTAGTTTCAAGAATAGGATTTAGGGATTCATCACTTATATATAACACCCAGTTCTTATCACAAGTGCCCTCTTTAATACCCACCACCCATTTAACCCATCCACCTGCCCACCTCCCCTCCAGCAATCCTGTTTGTTCTCTATATTTAAAGAGTCTTTTTTATGGTTTGCCTCTCTGTTTTTCCCCCCTGTGTTCATCTGTTTTGTTTCTTAAATTCCACATATGAGTGAGAGAGTCCTATTTTTAAGAAGAGAGACTAGGAAAAGAGGCACCAAACCATAGTAGACAAGAGGATTGACAACCATCTCAAAGCAGTGAGTAGGAAAAAAGTCATCTCTGAGAAATCAAAACACCTAGGCTTGTGCCAGAACAAAGTACAGTTGACCCCTGAACAAACATGGGAGCTAGTGGTGCCAACCCCCTGCATAGTCGAAAATCCATGTATAATTTTTGATTTCCCAAAAACTTAATAGCCTACTGTTGACTAGAATCCTTACCGATAACATAAACAACACGTATTTTTCATGTTATATGCTGTATTCTTACAATAAAGCTAGAGAAAAAAAATCTTACTGAGAAAATCATAAGGAAGAGTATATTTATAGTACTGTACTGTAGTTAACCAAAAAAAAATCCAGATATAAGTGGACCTGTGCAGTTCAAATCCATGTTGTTCAAGGGTCAACTGTATATATACATAAACACTATATGTATGGTATGTGAACTCCAAACTGAAAAATTAAAACTGTTCTAGGACCAGTGAGACTCCTCAGGGTTCTGACAAATATAAAACATCTCTGGGACACTTCTATGACCCCAGGGTACACAAAGATCCCACAGTAAAAGTAGCCTTAGTGAAGATGAATTAATGGTCAAAATATTTAAATTTTATGAGGAAGTAAGAAAGTATGTTGTGGCAGAGTTGGTAGATAATCAGAATTAGCCCTCAAGAACTAAAAATGTGATAAAAATACTCTAAAAGATAACTATAAAATTAGAACGTTTAAAATGATTAATAGATTTTTTAAAGGAGAAATAATGAAAACAGTATGAAAGAACAGACAAGTTTGAAAATGAACATCTAAAATTGGTAGAGTGCTGGGGCGCCTGGGTGGCTCAGTCATTACGCATCTGCCTTCGGCTTAGGTCATGATCCCAGCGTCCTGGGATGGAGCCCTACATCGGGCTCCCTGCTCTGCTGGAGGCCAGCTTCTCCCTCTCCCACTCCCCCTACTTGTGTTCCCTCTCTCACGGTGTCTCTCTCTGTCAAATGAATAAATAAAATCTTTAAAAAATAAAATTGGTAGAGTGCTTGAGATTAAAAACATGACAAAAAGAGGCTAAGAGTCATAGAGGTTAGAATAAAGAGATCTACACATTCTAATAGGAGATCCAAAAGAAACTGGAAAGAAAGGGTGAGAAGCGATAATCAAGGGAATGTCTGAGACTACTCCAGAACCAAAAGAACACACACACACACACAAAAACCCAAAACCATTCATCCTCAGGTTAACAAAAGTCTCTGAATAAATTTTTAGAAATCCACACCTAGACACATCATAATTAAGCTACCAATATCAAAGGAAAAAAAAAAAAGACAAACTCATGACTTTTAAAGGAACAGTATTTAGTAATGGATGCCCAAAGATAAGGGAAGGTAACTCTCAAGAATTCTACACACAGCTAAATTATTAATCAAAAATTAAGGTAAGAAAAAATTTTTCAGAGAACAAAAAACCAGTTCACCATTCAGAGACCTTTATTTAAAGAATTACTAAGGGGCACCTGGATGGCTCAACTGGTTGGGGGTCTGCCTTCAGCTTGGGTCATGATCCCGGAGTCCCAGGATCAAGCCCCACAAGGGGCACCCTGCTCAGCGGGGACCCTGCTTCTCCCTCTTCCTGTGCTCTCTCTCACTCACTCTCTCTCTCAAATAAGTAAAATCTTAAAAAAAAAAAAAATTACTGAAAGAAAACTGAACCCAGAAGGAAGGAGTGGGATGAAATAAGCAACAAACAAATTGGTAAACCTAAATAAGCACTGGCTAAAAGACTTTTTGGTGGGGAAAGTGACGTAACTTGGTGAATTTGGGAATAATTTAGCCTTGGTCTCACTTATCTTGGGAGCCTACACACATTCTGGTCCATTCTTTCTTGGATTTTTACAGGGACAGGCCTCAATGTGGAACTAGGTGTTTTTTATAACTAGATAGATAAGTCTGCTTAATTCTGGGGTGTGATAATTCCAAGGCTGTAAGACACATGCATTTCTATAAT